ACTCAGTGGTTGTATATCCTTCGTGGCTCTCACATAGACACACACTCACATACACCCTACTCCTTGTACATATCCCCCTATTATAACAATATATCTGCGTCTACACTGCATTGGGTGCATAGTGGTGTGCATAACTTCACCGCATTACGCGTATGTATCTGTGGTTTGATATTCCAGTGTTCCACCCATTCATGCTTATAGAGCACATTGATCATCGCATACATACACTAAGAGCTCTCTATATGACTCATTCATTTGGTACTTTAATCTTAAGCACACACCGGCATTCACAGCTCGCATTTAACCTTGATGTGGTTAGGCGATTACATACACGCCTGAATGAGGTTAACCACACACGACACAGATTGATGTGTCGTGTATGTGTCACCACGTTTGTCACCTACACGAGAGTTCAATGTTTTATCACCCAGGCTTCTCTGTCCAGCCTTGTGAGAATATTGTTAAGTGCAAAGGATCCGAGTGTCAGTAATCGTTAAAGTGTTCATGTACAGTGGTGTGATCAGTGTGTACAGTGGTGTGTACAGTGGTGTGATCAGTGTGTACAGTGGTGTGATCAGTGTGTACAGTGGTGTGATCATTGTGTACAGTGGTGTGTACAGTGGTGTGATCAGTGTGTACAGTGGTGTGTACAGTGGTGTGTACAGTGGGGTGATCATTGTGTACAGTGGTGTGATCAGTGTGTACAGTGGTGTGATCAACGTGTGTACAGTGGTGTGATCATTGTGTACAGTGGTGTGATCATTATTAAGTGACCATTGAAGTGTGTGATCATTAATAAGTGAACTGTGTGATATCCTGGTGAACAGTGGATTGAACATGTTTGATGGTGATGCTATGGTCAGGGTCTTGGTTGGTTGGTGTTAGCTCTATGTGTCAGTGATCAGAGCTTAAGCTGTTTATGGTAATCACTGTACGTGTCTCCAGTGACTTGCTTCGTGTTTTTTTTCAAGCATTATGTTTATAGCCATAGTTAATGTTATGTTTGTGATCAAAATATGGTGTTACGGATAGTTATATTGTTAGTGATTACTTGTGTAGTAACTGTTCAACTGTAGTGCTGACAGTGATAAAGTGTGGTGCCATTGATCGCAGGATACGTCATGTTTTTGTTGTTTTGGTTAATAATCCTTCCTGGACAATAGTGTATCCTGGTGTTGTTACGGCCACAAAAAAAAAAATCCGGTACACGTCATGTCTGCCGGGCAAGGGGGAGGGGGGGGTGTTGTGAGGGACTGAGGTGTGATGGTGACTTACAACTTCACACTATTCATTAGGGTGAAATAATTGACATTTGCGAAAATTAACGAAGATTCGAACGGTGAATATTCCTCGTAACTGTAAATAAAAGAAAGCACCTGAGTGGTTGACTTTAGGTAGACCAAAAATACATCCAAAAATAACATGAAAAATAATTACACCGAGAGACTAACACTGGTTAGGAGACAAGATTTTTTGCTGTAATTTTTCTGTTAATTTGGATGTAAATTTTTCATTAACCTAAGTCAAACAGCAAGGTACATTCTTGCACCATCATCTGCGAAGCACATACATACCAACCTTTGTGAATCCCTGTTCTTGTCCATTCCCCCATAACAATAAATACCGTTCAGTATAATTGGGAGGTTGCTTTCATTGTGGAAGTAGACCCCAGACATAACGCCTGGACCACAGTCTACTTAACTTCCGGTCTTCGGTACACAAAAAGTCATTACGATTGGCACATTTCTAATTTATAAGCTTGGTAAGGTACCAATGCACAGTTGGATGGGCTGTGGGTCCCCGGGTGCAGATGAGAGATGAGCGTCCTGTCACCTTTGAGATGAGGCGCAATGGCGAAGTAAAATGAAGACCTGTTGGTCCTTTTTATATACAATAAAAACTCGTGTTTTTGTAATGTTCCTCCTCCACGTTTGATGAAAATACCCAGTTTCTAAGCATAAGTGTAAATATATATCTTCCTTTACCTCCCCCCTCATTACATGGTATAGTGGAAGTAATCAACCGATGACATACACTTGATATAAATATCTGTCTCAGTCAGTCCTTATCGGTTTGTAAATATCGGCAGCCCATAGTACAGTATGAACTGAATGATTCACCCCCTACCCCCGTAATCAGCATGGAGAGCATACATGGTACACCCGCATCATACTCACTGGCACTACGACTAGGCACTTCACAGAACTCTACCAACACTAATTACGGTATGCAGATTTATAATGGCACTTTATAATATATTTTCTATGGTGAGTAATGTCTCTAGTTTGTTGGTAATTAACTATAACCAAAAAAATCGTCGACCAAGGGGAGGGAGTGGTTAGATTGAGATGACCTTCAATAATTATACAGTGACAGTACACGTGCTCATTAACACAGGTACGGTACACGTGCTCATTAACACAGGTACGGTACACGTGCTCATTAACACAGGTACGGTAGAAAACAAACCCAATTTATTATCCATAGTTTTTTATTAATGGTTTATTTGTCAATGTTTTATACTCGTGGTTATTGATACGTCGTTATTGAGTTTAATGGTATTGATGGTTTGTTGTGGTTATGGTTTGGTTATAGTTATTGATGGTTAATTTTGGTTATTGATGGTGTTGTGTTTAGTGATTGTTGTGGTTATTGATGGTGTTGTGTTTAGTGATTGTTGTGGTTATTGATGGTGTTGTGGTTATGGATTGTTGTGTTTATTGTTGTATTTGTTAGTTATTGATTATTTTACTGATGATTTGTTCTAGTTATTGATTTGTTGTGGTTATTGAGTGTTTGCTGTTATTGATGGTTTGTTGTGGTTATTGATGGTCTTTTTTGGTTACTGACATTTCGTTATTGACTTGTGATTACCTTTTATTAAATTTTAAAAGTGAAGTCTCATAGTGAAAGGATTATAGATGGTATGCACAACTTGCTTTATTTCTCGCTCGCAAGTGAATTATATGTAATTATAGGTCCCCAGCCATGCCACCACATGTGTGAATTATTTACCCGAGGGGGGACATTTTGATATGAAACCTGTACTGTAAGTGAGTAATTATTAGTCAGTGTTTGAAATTATGCCCAAGATTATAATAATTTTCCGTTGCATATTTATATTGACGGGTATTGAGTTATTTTAAATGACGAAAATCCATCTTCTGGTTCGTCACTCAGAATTTTCATGTGGTCGACTTTTCATTTTTTTTTGTTGGTTGATGCCGAGTGGTGTTAGATGATACTGTAACTCTCACGTCAGAATATGACACATTTGATTACCTGAAGATTAACCCCTCTGCTTATTTTATCTGATTAAATGCCTTTTATGTTTCCAAGGGAGGGTTAGGTTAGGTTGGTATTAGGGTGGAGTTGGTTTGAAGGTTAGGTTAGTGTAGGGTTAGGTTAGGATAGGCTAGGTTTAATTGTTAGGTTAGGATAGGCCAGGGTTTTATTATTAGGTTAGTGTAGGGTTAGGATAGGCTAGGTTTGAATGTGTTAGGTTTAGGTGTTTTCAATGCACGGAATAGCTAACGCGTCAACTATTCTGTAAGCGCTGATGCTACTTTTGTGTTGTGCCCATGACACATTCAGAGGGAAATGCGAACACCTCGATCAGGCATCAGCCTTGTGCAGCACCTAAGCGGCCCAGATAGCTAACAACCAATCAGCGATTTCTTCCACTGAAAATACGCGGATTATGGCTGCTTATGGAGAATATTTTGATTAATATTGAAGAGTTGGGGGCATGTAAGGCAATAAAAAACTGTGATATAATAATGAAAATAATTCTATATACGGTAGTACTGTATATTGGATAGGACCTTAAACAAAGTGTGAGGTGTGAAAGAATTGAAAAGGATCGCCCCAAGTTGAAACCAGTTTTGGCTCCGCCCATTTTTAAGTGGGGGCTGTCTGATTTCATTAGCCGTTGGTGACTTGGTGTAACAATATTGATAATTACTCAAATATGATTAAAACTTAAATATCATTACTCATAAGATACTTTAAATAAGGGTGAACAAGTTTATTACAGTTCTGTAAGTGCAAAAATTTAGACTTAAACGAGCCTGAAATTTGTCGTATTTCATATACAAATATGCGAACACCTAGCTTTGAGAGAAGAAGCGTACAGCTACTCTAGTCATTTTGTGGGGTTTCACGATCCGGGAGAAATTATCTGTACAACGGGCCCAATTTTGTTTTTATTATTTATTGTTGACTGATCACCTTTTTTCCTTTTTTGTCTTTTTTCCATAATTTTCTATATTTTTCCTTCACTATTTCTTTCTGTATTGTGTCCAAAAAAACAGTTCTTCTAATTTTAGTGTTTTCTGAAGACTGTGTTGTACAATAGTTATTCCAAAGACGCATTACAATGTCGTATTTTTTAATGACAGTCCGGGAAAGCTATTCCGTGCATCTTAAATTGCCTTACAATAAACGCCATTAGTGTAGAGTTAGGTTAGGATAGGCTAGGTTTGAATGTGTTAGGTTATTGTATGGTTAGGTGTTTTCGAGTTAGTCCAACTACATACTGAGGCAGATAAGCGCCAACGTCGGAAAGACACTGACACCGCCCCTCCCACAGTAGATAGAGCCCTCCACATGTGCAACGAATGTGGACGACTCTGCCGGTCCCGTATCGGCCTCTTTAGTCACCTCAAAACTCACTAACCTCGGTGACATCCCTAATAACTCGTATCATTTTGTCATATCTGGATCATTGTCATACTCAATTCCGAGTGACAGCAAAGTAGTAAGTAGTAGTATTATTAGGGTGGTTAATCATAAGGTGAAATAAGCTGCAGGGGTTAATGTTCAGGTCATCTGTAACATTAGACCTGCTGTGGTTAAGACAGAATAGTATAGTTTGGGTCAAGTTGTGTGGGAGTAACTGAGGTATAAGATAACAAAACAGTGCAGCTGTAAAATGAGTAACAAATGCATTTATAAGTTAGAAAATATATCTTATACTAAGTTGTGTCAATCACCAACAGAGGAGGTGGCAAGTGCAGTTGGACAGACAGGTGGCCGCTACGAGGGGGAAATCAAGAGGTTAAAAAAACTCACAGAACGATTGGACGCTGAGAAACAACATTACCGTCGACTCTATGAAAGACAGCTTGAGGTAAGTTTTTATTTTTTACTACGGAATATATCTTAAGAGGATTTTTATTGTTTTATGCACAATGCACTATTTAAACTACTAGAGTGAACATCTGAGTCAAGAACCAAGAGAAAACGATGCATTTCAGTTTTGTGAGTTATATAATTTCTTTTAGCTTTGTACAGTTTATTAAACTAGATGATCCATATATGAATTGCATCTTCCACTAAATAGTGCCCATAGAGCTTGCCTAACACAGCTGCTAAGTAAAGGCTTCATATGTACAGCTATAGTGAGATGAGTGTGCAGTACAGTATTTTAATTTGGCTTACTTCTTTACTGCTCCCCCAGATGTTGTTGTTTTTTTTGCATCAGATTATCGAGGTATTGACAATGTAGTGCCAATACATCAGTACTGTACATAGGATTGCTTTAGAAACAAACTCCTCTGAATCCGAGTTACATCGTACAGTATATGTCTGTTGAATACTGTATGTGGAAATAAATGAATGTAATATGAAACGGAGACATGATGACACAGCAGGGCACAGGATATATACCACGGAGGCTGCTGTACTATTAGTCAAGTCTGATGGAAAGAATGGTTAGTGTATTTTGATGAAATTTGTGGGAGAATTGTGTTAAAAATAAATGCTGTGAAGGTTATAGTTGATGGCATGACACCGAGAGGGAAACAGAAAAAAATGGATGGATAACTTAGGTGAATTTGTTCAGTAATGCCTGAGCAGTTATTGAGAATCATGAATTGGAGTGTTTTATATATATCACTGGTAACAACAGAACCAAACTTGTTGACTAAGTATTACTAGTGAATAGATATGATGATGTACTGTACTGTGAATCGCTGTGGGAGCTGAGGTTTACTTTTTGCATACTCTGTACGTACATAAGTTAAGGAGATAAGGGCAAATATTTGTGGGTGTTACTGCTTGTTATTCTATTGCTTTCCAGTTACTTTTCCTCACCTTGTCTTGCACTGTTCTCACTATTATCTCCATGTTAGTTCCTCTCTTCTACTTCATAGCTTCTGTACCTCTTGATCCACCCCACGTAAAAGAGGGATAATATACTAAATTGATAAAGTAGCAAATTTAAGATAGGTTAATAATAATTCGGGTTTTAAGTTTTGATGACATAATATAGTTGGATTCTTGTTAAGGGATTTTGTAATTAGTAAATTGTGGCAATATGGCATAACTGGGAAAATGTGACGGATAATGTAGTACATATATCTTTAGTGCACTAGGGTGGATCACTTTACAAATCTCACAAGATTCATTTGTATACTGTGCAGGTCTTAAGTACATGATGATTGTAACAGTGTCAGCACAATTACTTTTCATAGACAGCTTCACAGCATTGCTTTCCCTGCTGATATGAGTTGCCAGGTGAGATCTTACCCATCCTCCCTTTCCTGTACTGAACCCCATAGACTTCCTCCATGTTACACAGTATCCAGTCAAACCCATTGTAACTCCTGAAATATTCCTAGACCCTCTATTAACTTATCCACTGATTCTAATGACAAGTACAAGGAAGAATGATGTAAACTGCTTTATGTCAAGATATTATGAATGAAGCATAAAGATATAAGCTCTTCATTAGCACACTTGTACAATGTGTTTTGATTCTATTTAAAGGAGAGAAAATCCCTTCACAACACCAGAATGTGGCATCCCTGCAGTTTCTTTTAACATTGGCTATATAATGTAGTTGGTCGTCACTCTGGAGGCATAGATGACTGTGTTATATGCTAGTACAGTAACTTGAACAATACCAACTCGTATACCTAGTGTAATTTTCCTTTAACTAGTGAAGTGTAATAGAACTGGTGCTGGGTATTATTGATCCTGGGAGTATGTGACCTTTTTTTTTTATCAGTGACCTTAGATCATTTGGTCTCTCTTTTTGACCTTAGTGCTGTAGGTTGCCAGTACTTTCCAGTCCTTTGAAATTAATTGATACCTGGTCATATTGTGTAATATTTGTCACTCACAGGAATCTGACATACGAACAAAGAGTGAAAGCTTACTGAGCCCGGGAGTGTTGTCAGCCGTCACAAAGTCTTTAGCCAAGAGAGTCCCCAGTCTAAGTCCATCTACACTAAGTACCCCAGAAAAGACCACTTCTGGCTCTGCCATAGGAACTCCTTCCTCATTAGGCACAGGGGTTGATGCAGAAAACTTGGAAGACAGTATGAAGAGAGTGAGTACCACAGACCTCATCACTTTGACACTACCAAGTAGGATGTATGAATTTATAAAGGAATCATATCTAGGTTTCACAGTTGGTGTTGTACTGGTGTGGAACTTCTCTACTTTTCTGTGTGTGTTTGTTGAAAGATGTGTGTCTATGGGCTAAAAAGTTAGTGTTATGGTAACTTTGAATTCTTGAACTTAATTGTCTACAAAAAAAATCAGGTGTGTTAGAGAGATATCTCAACACATTTAATTTTTTATATCTGTTTAAGTTGGCATGACACAGTTTTAGACTCACAGTCACCCTGTAAATGTCTTTTTTATACAGTACACATGCACATGTTCCAAAAGTAGTGCCAAGTCCACTTTGAACCCCTGATAAGACCCTTTAAGAGTTCATACACTTCAGGAGTGATTTGTCTGTTAAGATTAAATCTGTTTTCATGTTTAAAGCAGGTTGATGTATGCAAAAATCTAATTTTTACCCATTTATTCGTTGCATTAGGTAGACAACAAAATTTTTCCCATTTCAAGCTTGTGCATTTGAAGTACATTCCTTTCCTCTTCAACTTACTCAAGACTGGTTGTATTATTAATGAAATAAATGAGCATTCAAGATTATAACTACTAAGACATTACCTTTAAATTAGTCTCTTAAATCCCCTGACCTGCCAGTGACAGGTCCTGGACCCTCTTATACCTCGTGGTTGTCAAGCACGGCTTGTTTTTTCAGCTTCCAGGCTGTTAACCTGTTTGACCTTGTTTAGTACTTTTATTTTCAAGCAGTGTACATAACATAGGCAGATCCAAGGGGTGTTGAGGGTGCAGAGCCTCTTACCTACCCCTTTGGTCTGGAGGCTCAGCACACCACCTCTTATGACCCACCACCCCTCTCTGCCAACCTCCTGCCTTGTCCCTCATCCCCTACTGTCCATTGTCTTGCTCAGCCCACAACCCCTCACTGCACTGCCTTGCCCACCATGCTTGGCCAGTGTTTTTACCATCAGTTTTTGTTGTGTGGATACACTGGAATACATTTACAAATTGTGCTCCATAAATCATATTGTTGGCTAATTCACTCACCCAGACCCTCATACAGGTTGAATTTGTGAGATTTTTCTGAACTTCTGAATTTAATTTCTTATAAAAAGTTTTTTCTTAAATTGTTTGAGTTTTTAATAATTTAAGAAGGTGTTCCACGGATGTTTGGTGTCCACTGTGATGTGACCTCCCACCCTGTGATCACTTATAAAGATTAAACTCCGCTAGGCCCAGGAAGATGCTGATCTATTACGGTCGCTGGTGGAACCGCTGGAGGAGGAAATACAAGCTCTCAAGGAGAAGATCAGAGCACAGGACGCCCAGTTACGAGCTCATGAAGCCCAACAGGCAGCTGCTCTTCACACTGCTGATGTTGTAGCGCCACTCCTGCAGGGAATGGATGCAGCGCAGGTGGTAAAACAGCTTGATGAGAAGGTAGGTAACGTCGAGTACTGTATCAGTTGAACAAGACCGCACTCAAGTGAGGTACTAACTCATGGCGGATAGTACCTGTATTCAAAGTTGTGATCTTTACCTCTGATGTTTGACCCCAAAACATAGTACTGTACTGTAGCTCTAAAGATTGTCATGTGGAGTGTGTGCCAAGTATGAGCATGTAGCTTTTTCTGATAAGTTATGCTGTATATGTACAGTAGTTAGAAATATCATCATCATCAACGTTGTATGGCCATTATCCAAGCTGGCCTGGGCTAGACATGATTACCCAATGATAGCTCCCCTCCCTCCTCTCACCACTGCAGACCCAGGGTGCCAGCCCAGAAAATGCGACAGAAACCAGGGGATGGGCACAGCTCTGGTGATACAGATGTCATTTGGCATGTAGCAAAGTTTTTTGGCTGGATGCCCTTCTTAATGTCAATTCACAAAATGGGAACAGTTGGCAATGCAAGGCAGGGTCACAAATTCTTGAGGTAATACATGCCTACCACATATTTAAGTATTTAAATATAAATTATAGAATATTTATACATGAGAGGTGGCAGGTGTGTGAGGCTTGATTCATACAAAATTTAAAACAGTGGCCATGTAGCAGCCAGCACCAATAATGTATAGGTGTGATTGTCTTCATGATGGGCAGATTAGTGTTACAAATGATTTTGCATATAAGGTTAGATCTGAGGAGTTCACTCACTTGACGAGTAGCAACCGTACAGTGTTGTTAGGCAGGAAGTGGCACAGACCATGATTTCATTTGTTCAATCACATAAGACCAAATTATGCAGTTAGAAACATGGATTATAATACAGTATATAGATGTGGTCTTATTGATCCTTCTCATATACAGTACAGTATTAGTCTTGATGGATTCCCACTGGTGTTGCCTTAACCAATGTATAACTCATTTACACACTGAAATATAAACATTGATTAGAGACTTTAAGTATGCTGTTTTTCTTATACTGTACACTATAGCTGTTGCTGCTGTTATAATGTTCGTGTGTTTGTCGTTCATGTTGGCTTCATAAAAAAATTTGTATGTTGTATGTCATTACAATTACAGTGTACCTTAAAAAAATAAGTACTCTTGAGAAATAGAACACCAACTATTATTATCATTATTATTAATCATTGTACCTCATAATTATCTCAGACATAAAGTACTGTATGTATGTAAATCAAATTTAATATTAGCTACCTAGAATTAAACACCACTTTTGGAAAATAATAACAGTGGCCAGAAAGATATGATACCAGTACACATGTTATCTGCCTGGCTTGAAGTGACACTCATCTGCCCACCATCTAACTCTAAAACAGCTTTGTGTTTTAAGTTTAGGGACCAAAGAAATATATTACTTTCTACTTTAAAACTTTTTATTTTATGTCTCACTTTCTCTGAACTGATTTTGACATAGGTTGAGATATTAAGGTAAATAGCTTCTTAATTTTTAAATATATCTGTACTGTAGGACTTATTAACACGTTGATCATAGTACTGTAGCTGTGACTCGGGTGTACTGTACTTTATAATGGAGAGAGAAGCATGGACAGTGGCTGTATAATGGTGGTGGTGATGTTTGTGTGACTGTAAATTAAAAAAGGAACACTGTATTATAAGATGGGAATAGGATCTAACACCTTTATATTGTAGCTGTTGTGTGGTGGTATGGTGTTTGATCTCTTGTTTTACCTATTGATTGCCATTGTAATATAAGATGGGAGAAGGATCTAACACCTTTAAACCGATTGTGTGGTGTTCGATCTCTTGTCTTATTCACATATTGATGGCATTCATTTTGCAACACTTATGTTAATTATCTTTTTCAGCTGAAGGGCGTAAGCAGCACCTTGGAAGCAGAGAAGTCATCCAGAGCAGATTTAGAACTGTACACGGCCATTCTCAACACACAGAAGACGGCCCTGACTGACGACGTCGACAGATTGCGCACACAGCTGACTGAGTTGAGAATGGTAGGTGTTCATTTCTGTGTTCGGTGTTCTGGTGCCCGCATAGTTAAGGGTCAACCATACACTACTACTACCATACAACACACCCACTTGAACCTTGTAGATGTGAGTGGTCTACCATACAATACTACCATACAACGTAGTCACTAAGCACTACAGTAGACATGAGCTACACAAGTAATCACAGACGAGTAAATCATTCCACAGTTGTACGAGACGGAGCGCCGCCAACACCGAGACTTGAAGCACACTTGGCAGCGGGCTAATGACCAGTTCCTCGAGGCACAGAGGCTCCACCTTGCCGACATGCGGAGGATGCAGTCTTTTCTAACCCACGACCAGCAGCGGAGATTGGAAGGTGAGCACGACCGATTCCCCCGTCAGTACTGCTGGTTTATTTTTGTCTTTAGAATATACAGTGGAATCTCTATTTATTGGAGTATATAGAGATGAAAGTCCGTTATATCGAGGGACCGTTAGATTTGAAACCTCCATCTAACGAACTGTATGGAGATGTAAATCTATTATGTCGAGGGTCTGATTGGTGTTAAACCCTCCATATCACGGATAACATTGAAATATAAATCTGTTATAGTTTAAGTCTTAACATTTGTAATCATTTATCCAGTACAGTACATACCTGCAACGTTTACCATAGCACCAGATTGTTAGTTTATCGTTGGTACCGCAGTTTAAGCTCCAGATGTTGTTTGCCGTTGATAGTGGGAAAACTTGTCCCGTTTTTAGGGTGACCCGTGGAGTATCTGATTCTGGTCATTTGTGAAACGTTTCTCTTGAACGGTGGAATGAAACAATAATATAATGGGGAAAGAACTACAGTAATTGACGAACTAAAATATTATCTGTTTTAGTAGCAGGTAAAGATTACTAAGCACAGTACCTGGTATTTATAATTTGCATTGTTAAAGAGATAGGAAAATTATACTGTATACTATTTTCTCTAGATTCTGAAAGGAAATATTTTGAAATTATAAATGTTTAGAAAATCTTATTAACAACCAATTTGATTTACAAGTAGAATTTCCCTCCCGCAAAAGGATGAAACGATCATTAAATGTTTATAATTAACTACTGAGGAGTGGATGAGATTAATGGAAATAAAGAGAGGAAATTAGGGATGAAGAATCATTTTAGGAGAGAACTTAGCAGATAGTACTATAGATGAAGGTGGTCAGGACAGGTACAATGGATGGAAGAAGAGAGGTGGAGGGTAGAATGAGGAACGAGTAGAAGCAGAGAACAAAAGTGGATAGACAGTGAAAAAAAAATACTCCTGATAAGTGTGGGAGGTGGATGACATCAGTGGAGGAGGATTATGGAATGGGAGGGAGATTTGCTGCTGAAAAGAAGATTGTTTTAGTAGTTATGAGTGATATAAGTTGTAACCCAGTACAGTACTAAGTTTAAGGCCGTGAATTTGACCACCGCGGTTCCTCTTGCAGAGCTACAGCGGAGTGAGGAAGCAATGGCCAGAACTCCGTCCATCTCACTTACGGACACTAGAACAGAGGTCAGACCAGAGGTTAAATCGTCCTCACCCCACCTGTCTTCTCTCTCTCCCTCCTCTAGAAAGCGTGGGTCGTCTCCATCCCCTGAAAATGAGGTAAGAATCTATTTCATTACTTGATGTGCTATTAATTGTCATTGTTCTTTTAATTAAATTGGCCAGGGATGTACTGTAATTACCACAATCATTCAATTAATCATTAACCAGACTATTATTATTTGGTGGCTAAAGTTGTGCATTTTTTATCATAGCAAATAACACATGTGAATAATGCCGACTGGTTTGTTTCATGGAATGTTCAGACCAGGTATCCTATGAGAAGTATTTCAAAGCTAAAACAGTATTGGGATAGGTAGCTGTACAGGCAAAGAAGTCAGTCTGATGTGTTTTGGACTCCTCAACATTGTATTAGGAAGTACTGTATATCTCTTATGGTTAATGGTTACCAACTCACATTTAATATTTGTGACTTAAGAGAGTGTCCCTGAATGATAGGATTCTTTTGTAGGTTCTTATTATATTTGCTTTTTAAAGAGACAGACGTCACTATAGGTACAATGTTACTTTTTTCTCTTCGTTTGGTCTTGGAGGCAATTATACTAAAAAGTGATCCTCTACCACAAAAGTTTTATTTACATTGATTTTGATGACAATATTTCAGTCATCTGTCATTACTATTATAAAAGAAATTCAGTTTGGTAATGTTAGCTAGACGTACGTTATACACTTGTTGTCTTGGTCCCTGCAGGTTGATGATGACCGGTCCTCCTCTCTGTTGGACCTGGAGGAGGAGCCTGCTGCCACCCTGCCCTCTACCACCCACCTCACTCATGGGTAAAGTAGTCTGTTGACTCTCTTGCACATTTTATTACTTCAGGACTTATGCTTTTTGTCACTCATATAGATGAAGACTTGTCATTTGAATTATTTACTTAAGGAATAGATAAACAGTTGTAAAGTGGACTTCGGTAAAGACATTTGATGAAGCCAAAGTGTTGTACTCAGTGGGGAGGTGAAGGCTGAGTGAGCAAGTGCAGCAAGTTATGTAAGACATGAAAGTTATACACACACACACACATACACATTAAAGTCTGGTAACTGAAGAGCAATTACAGACACAGTCTCTCATTATTTGTTGTCATTCATCCATTCTTACAGCTGTAAGTTACTGTATATGCTATGATACTATCCTTCTACACTAAGACCTCTGCTGCTTAGCATCATGTTACTGCACAGTACAGTGGTCCCTCGGTTAATGAATGCTTCAGTTAACGAAATTTCGGTTAACGAATTTCTTTTCATAAGAATCTTCAATTCGGTTAACGAAAATAATTTGATTAACGAAATTCTTACGAAAACATGTCAACATGTTTTGGCTTGCTCATCGGCTGGTAGGTTAGTCCGCCAATGCAGTAATCGGTTCTAGGCTTACATTCGTTTCCATTGGAGTAAATATCAAGAAGGTTGTGCTATTCAATATTTTTCTAAGTTTTATTTTAAAATTATTAGTCATTTTAACACTTATTTAGCATAATTGCAGTACAGGGAACTAGTATTTGGTACGCCCATCAGCCACTTCACTCACCCACCAAGGCGTCTGTTTGAGTCTCTGTTCAGTGGAGGAAACATCTTGCTTATGGGTCTCTTGCACACAGAGTATTTTTATGTTTTTACAGTGCAATTATTGGTCATACTGAAATTTATTTAACATATTGATAATATATAGTGCAGTGCAGTGTTGATTTAAAGAAAATAATCTTGAATTACACCTAGTGAACTTAAAATTTTATTGGTGAAATTACTGCATCAAGCATGGTTCCCTGAAAGGTGATTTCTCTTCTATCCCCACTTCCTTCTCTTCTCCCTTCTCCTTCACCCCCACTTCTAATTCCCATCATCATCATCAACCAGGAACCTTCTACATACACACCTCAAAGTAAGTGTACTTTACTGCATTTTATTTTTACTTTGTTTGTACTTTTCGGTGAGCTGGAACCAATTATCGAATATCCCATTGAAACAATGGATTCGGTTAACGAAATTTTCGGTTAACGAACGACCTTCTGGAACGAATTGTGTTTGTTAACCGAGGGACCACTGTACTTCCCAAAAATCACTTGATGCCAAATGAATAAAATCATCTGGCACTTGCCAAAGAAAATATTAAGTGGTTAATCAATAAAGAAAGGCCTGGCTCTGAACACGAGTACAAGCTTTATGAAAACAGATTAGACTAAAATTCTGACTGTTTGTCATGGTAAGGATTGAAATAAGGGCAATGCCTAAAATCTCAATTGTGTTTGATGTGCAAATTTATATTGGATTGTGTAATATCTTGCTTCTGTTGATATGGGGGTCTTAGATACCTTCATACTGCAGGTAAACTGTCTTAGCAGGAAGGTAATAAAAGGCAGCAATAAAAGCTCTCAAATATAGTGTTGGTCTCAGGAGTGATGCAGATGATTAATGGATGAAGTATCAACAGTGAACAGAGTGATGACCTGAGCAGTGAGACAGAGACCCACAGCCTCCCTCCAGATGGTCTTGCTCCTGACAGCCTCCTCGTTCCAGATAGTCATAGACCTGACAGTCAATTGGCAGAACGTTTTAGTCCTGACAAGATGCCCCAGTTAACACATGACCAGCAGAAAGCTCTAGCAGGTGAGAACTTTGGCCTACAGAAAGCTCCTGCTGAACCTGTAATGATTGTTGTTGTAATATATTTTTTTTTACTGCAGATCCTGAAAGAGAAAATATATACAATCATTTTGCTCTTTTTATTTTGCTTAATTCCACTTTATTTTGTTGTATTTAACCTAACATTATTGGTTATCTCCTGCTATAATGTCTTAGAATGTAACATGTTATCATACCTTCCAGACATGACCCCAGATTCTGACGGGGTGACCCAGAGTGAGTCTCTCTTGTCTCCGGGTGATGAGGAATATATGATCGTGGAGTTTAATTCAAGTGGCAGTGGAGGACCAAGTGGTATGAGTGGGGTGGGAAGTGGAAGAAGAGTAGTCAGTGAAGCAGAGTGGAACCTCTTGCATGAAGAGATTCGCCGTGCCAGGTCAAAGATGGGGCGATCATGTCAGCTCTGTGCTTCCTACCAGACACAGCTACAGAAGGTAAGGTCAAGTCTAGGCTCCTACTTAAGTTATTTGTTATTGACATATTTTACACCCACTACTCTCTCCTGCTTAATATAACCTTTACAGTAATCCTCATATTACTTGTAGTGGAGTATGATGTATTTCTTATGCTATTACGGTTCTAAGTATTGTATTAGAAAATAACTTTTATTCCATAGGCTCAAAGTGAACACCGGGAGACAGAGAAGCTGCGGGTGGAGCTGGAAAAAGCACTTCTGCGATACAAGGAAGACCTGGACCGAGAGGCTTGCTATAGAAATGTTATGGAGGAAAAATGGGGAGTCATGGCTGAGGAATATGAAAAGAGGGTAAGTGTTAAGATGAAGTAAGACTAATTCTTTGGTACTGTACTGTGGCTAAGATCACATGATGGTTATGTCCTGCCAGTTCCTCACATATTCAGACATTACTTTGTTTTGCCATGTTGCCATTATGGTTTTATACCTTCAGAACAGTAGATGATTTGATGGTTGTTGTAGGTAGCAGGTCTGGCAAGTGTGGTGGAAGGAACTTCAGGGAAGCATAATGAAGTTGTAGCAAGATTCCGAGCCACGGTAACAAACCTGCACGAACAATTGAAAATACTGACAGAACGTAGAGAGGCAGTTCAACAGGAACTTACCAAGTAAGTTTTGTAAATTGAATTTTCTTATATATTTACACATGCTTTATATGTGTAGAATTATTTCTTACAGTAGGTAGGTAGTCTTTGACTATAGAGAGTTGGGACCTTGCCTTGCCAGTTGTTCCCACCATGTGGGTTGGTGTTCGGAAGGACATCCAATCTTAAAATTTTGCTTTACTTTGCGTGATTGCAACCAGAGCTGTACCCATCCCTTGGTCTCTGCTGGTGTTCTCGGGCATCATGCCAGTACGTGTGTGTGCAGTGGTGAACAAGGGAGAGGGAACATCATGTTGTGGTTTTACCCAACAATTGCCATTAGGTAATTGCTACTAACCCATGCAAGTTTGAAAAATGGGCATAAAATGAACATCGTTGATGATGCTGTGCACAGCTTTATCTTGACTTATAAATCCTCTTCACACTGAGTGTCCCTCTCATATGTATCATGTCCATTGGCGAGTTTAAAATAAGTAGATTGATTTTTCAGGAGTAGGAACTTAGACTTTTCCCGAATAATATTTATCAAATATGAATTACTGTTGTTTGCATTTTTAAGAATTTTTTTTTCATTTGACAGACTACAAAAGGAAAATGATGACTTAGTTGGGAAGCACAGTCAACACTCACAGCAATTACAGAATGAAATTATCAACCTGCCTGACAATATGGAGGTGAGTAGACAACTTGGCATAACATGTACCTCATCACAAGATCTAATCCATCTTATGTCTGTGTTTCATGAGTGGTGGCTCTAACTATACATTATGACACCAAAAACACACTAAAACTATAACACCATGAATCTAGTCTTTATAACATACTGAAACTTGAACACTGTTGCGAGTTATCACTATTAGGAGGGATTATTTGAGATATGGTGGTTCATATGCTGTGTAACTGAAAATATCAGTGAAGGATGCACTAGGAATGAGGAGAAAACATTTCTGCCTTCATTAATTTTTCTCATCGCATTAATTTTCTTTAAGTTAATCTTACATTTTTCCTTCTGTATCCATCCACATTTCCTGTGGCTATTCAATATTATCAACAGAAAGTAGAGACAGTACTTCCATCTTGTTCTGTAGACTTAATTGATCTTTGACGATAAAACTTTGCTGCAGTATTTTGTGGTGGAGAATGATGGTTGATTTTATTTTGAGGTGGGGTGGAGTGATGCTGCCTCTACCACCTTGCTCTGAATAAGGAACCTACCTTACTTACAGTATATAAACATCAGTAGTAGCACTTTAGCCCACTCCAGTTTTTTTTATTATATCTAAACTCTAACCTTTGTGCTATCTCTGCATTAATACCATAATTTGCAAACGTTATTCATTATGAAATTAATACTGAACCATAATTTCTTCCAAGATGTTTCTTCTAATTGTTTGTTGTGCTGTAGGAGATGCAACTGCTGTTACTGCGCTACCGTGAAGATATTATAGCGGCCAAGGTCTCCAAGGAACATCTGGAGGAAACCCTAAAATCTGAAATACTCTTCCTTAAAGATCAGGTAAGTTAAGATCAGCCCCTTGTGAGTGATGCCATGAACTGCACCTGACAACTTTGATTATACAAAAAGAACATGCAGACAGCTTTGTATCTTTTTATCCACATCAACAACAGAAATAGGATTGAAGTAAACTCGGCAAGGAGAGAGTTTGTGTGTTTGTTTGACCTTGGCTGTTGAGGCACGAGGATAGTATTCGTAATTATTAATTCATTCATTGTTTGTTGTTGATTCCAGACACCCAGCAGTAAAGTAAGAATAGGCTGGTAATTATGAAAAAGAACTTGTGTACAGTTGAACATATGTAGTATGGTATAAAGAATAAGTGGGGGAATGGTCACTACTTTTCTTGATTCATAATACCCCCCCGAGAGAGAGAGAGAGAGAGAGTATTTGTAGGAAACTAATAATTTTCATTGTGTTCTTATGACTTTTAAGGTATTTTATAATGATTTGTTCTGTGTAATGAACTTTCTTACATTTTACCATTTACCCGACAGGTTTTGGGCGAACAACACGAAAAAAACACCATAGAGGATCGTCTTTCCAGTGAAATTGACCAGCTAAGGTGAGATGTCGTTGGCTTATCTAACCAATAGTACTGTGCTAATTATAGTTCATGATCCAAGCACCAGAAACATGACTTGTCTTCACTACCTGAGGATCAAATGTTATCGAAGAGTTTCTTATAGTGTATTATCCATAGGGGGCATATATGTGTGTGATAGTTATTTCATAGGATTACCTTTTGTGTGAGAAACCAAATTAAAAAATTACCAGGTTATTATGGAATTTGTTCAGTTGTACTAGAATAAGACTACAGGGGCCAAGCTTTCAGAAATATAGGATCTATGAGTAGTGTAAAGTTTAACCATCTGTAACGAGTTCTTGTCCCGTGTATTGACTGTTTTATCCACTCATTACGTATAAAGGTCTCGTACCACTGACTCCCCGTGATAGGTATAGAAATGCCATAAACAGATTCTCTCCCTTGTCCAGAAACTTGACCCTCTTGTTCCTCAGTCCAACAAACACTTGATCCATTCAGTGTTTTTGCTTCTCCCTTTTCTCACTAATTACTATGCTAAATAGCTTACCCGGGAGACCCAACAGTAAAGTGGGGAGGTGGATATTTTGCCCAGGGAAGTGTGAAGTGAGTGATAGATATTTTCTTTGTGTCAGAGTTAATACTATCATATACAAGGGAATGATAATGGGTTTCTTTCTGCGTTAGTATGGATTGTAATTCATTTCTGTCTAGTCTATGATGTCTTTATAAGGAATTTTGCATGACTGTACTTAAAAAAACCCGACTCATTTTGGAGATTGAAAAAAAAATTGTTCCTTGTTTTGTAATCATTAGAAAAAAAGTTTGTACAGTCGAGAGCTTGGAGAGTCAGATGAAGATGGAGCGGAGGAGTCGTGTAGAGAGTGACTCACAGCTGAAGGACGTGGAGACGAGACACTCTGAGGCCCAGTTGAAGAATCAGCAGATTATAGCCGGCCTCAAGACGCAAGTGGGAGAGCAGACGCAGGCCAGGGTTTGTACACACAGATTTCACCGTTACTTTTGAGTGTCTTTGTTTGGACTACCTGAAAGAGTAGCCACTAATCTAACAGTAACCTAATCAACCCTAACCTAATCAACCCTAGCTCTAACCTAACCAACCCTAACACTAACCTAACCAACCCTAACATTAACCAAACCAACCCTAACATTAACCAAACCCACCCTAATCTAATCTACCTAACACTAACCTACTCTACTCTAACACTAACCTACCCTAACCCTAACCTTACCCTACCCTAACCCTACCTACTACCCTACCTTACCCTACCCTACCTTACCCTACCCTACCTTACCCTACCTTACCCCCCTACCCTACCCTACCCCCCCACCCCACCCCACCACCCACCCCACCTCACCCCACCCCCCTCCCCTAGATTGCATTAGGGTGTGTGATCACCAGGGTAAATAAACTGGTGGGGGGGGGGTTAATGTTCATATGACCCCTTTATTTTTATCTTGAAACAAATTGTAGAGGAATGAATATTTTGAAATATTCTGTATTTTATTGGTATACTGTATTTAGTAATTTATATGCACTTTTTTTATAATTTACTCATGAATAGAATATGTTAAGTTGATGGATTCTTTGATGCATATTTTGTTATTTTATTTACTTGTTATATACCTACCTAGTGTTTGCAAGTCCTAGTTCATTTGTATTATTATTCATTATATTAGCAGCTGTTCTGTAGGTTGGTAATTATGTATGAAGTGTTGACTAGTAATCTTCCCAAGTCACACTAAGTCCTACTAGCTGTCATTTAAGTCACACACACACACACACACACATACATACATACATACATACATACATACATACACACACACACACACATACATACATACACACACACACACGCATGCACGCACGCATGCACGCACGCACGCACGCACATGCACACACATGCACAGAGGTTTTTCAAAATTTAGAGGAACCCAGGGAAATGAGACGCTGTAAATGGGAGCAACAAGTGAGGAAACACAGGAACAACAATTAATGGAGAAGGTAGTCAGGATGAAACAGGAGGCAGAACAGACTGGTTAAAGATGTTAGGAGATGTCTGATAGAAACATTTTACCCCCACAGGCGAGATTAGAGGCAGAAGTGGTGGAGCTACGAGGGAGAGTTTCAGCGCTTCAACACGACCTGGACACATCGGAGGTGGTACAGCGTGACTTTGTGCGGCTCTCACAGTCACTGCAGGTCCAACTGGAGAAAATTAGACAGTCGGAGAAAGAGGTGAGGGTTTTTACTTCGTCTCGGCTATCGAAGTAGTGTTGAATGACTCGTTCTTGGTGATTTGTCTGATACCTCTGTGATATCTGTTTATTGTTGGAAAAAGTGGCAAAAGTGGAATTGTAGTTAATGAATCTTTATTAATTTATGTAAGTCCTTATTTCTGTAAACATAATATTCGTGGTCTCAGGTCCGGTGGCAGCACGAGGAGGACCAGGAAGAGTGCAATAGTTGTAAGCAGAGGTTCACTGCTGTGGGACGAAGAAAGGTAAGGTTCCAGGGGTAGTTCTTTGACTATGACGTACAGTATATATATTTGTCCCCTGTTGTCCTGGGAGGGAGGCACAATAACTCAGGCTTTCACTCCTGCCATCTGTGAGTCTGCAGTTGTGAGCATGATAACTTATATAAAGAGCAGTGGATTTTACCATAACTTGTTATGTAGATAATTCACACCAGTTTCTCTGAAGAGTTGAATATTTAGCATACTGTTATGGCTCTTTACACAGTGTGGTGAGGAACTTTACCTCTGTCTACCATAACAGAATACTTCTATTGCATTAGTTAGATTGAGAAACTGGCAAGGTCTGTGTTTATGTGTGTGAGTGAATGCTCATACAATGGTACATGCCTGTGTTAGTCTTGATACTATCTGCACTACCATTTCCTTTTACCTGTAGTGGGAAAAGACTTGAAAGGGTGAAGATTCGAGAGATTTGATTTCATGGGTATTAATGTCCCACTTTATGTCTGTCATTGGAATTATGGTTTTGGTTGTATCGGGTACCCAGTGAGCAGGGTCTTGTGCATCATATATGCTGCTGGCTGTTGTCATTCGTTAATATTTCTATTTGTGTGTGTGAGAGGATGACTTATCCGTTGTGTTATAGGCAGTTAGAAACGTTAATGTAGTACAGTTTGCTTCTGGTGGAAAGGTCTCTTCAGAACTTTTTTTCTTGGAATGTTGCAAACTGTCATGGCCATACATGGTCTGGCATTCTCAGTACAGTAAACAAATAAGAATCTATGGATATTTAGGAACTGATTTATTATTCAGTTAAAAATGCTTGGTACATTCATGAGGTCCTTCTTATTTGATATACAGTATTTAACATTCAAAGATTCTGTGTATATACAGTATTTTAATCTTTGCTTTAAATTGTGTATTAATATATTTTTTTATGCCAGTGTAAATTTTATGAGGAAAAAATCTAAATCGGTAATTTATAAAAATTTATAGAGAAAATATCCAGTAATAATTTGTGTTTCTTTATATTTTATCGTACATCTTCAGCATCATTGCCGTCACTGTGGAAAAATCTTCTGCAACGAGTGTGTGAACAAGACCGTGCCAAGTGGACCTCTTCATCGTCCTTCTCGAGTGTGTGATGTGTGCCATACTCTTCTGGTACAAGATGCCACTCCATACTTCAGTTCTGAGCCCCCACAATCCCCAGACTGACCTGCTAAGCCCACAATTGCTTCCCCACACTGACCCATCACAGTAAACTGATGTCTCATACCACTGACTCTCCGTGCTACACTTACCTGCCATCTTACAGGGATCCTCACCACACTTCATGACTATACTGTTCAGTACATGTCACTCAAGCACTTCCTGAGTGTTTACGTGCCATAGTGGTGTGGTGTAAGACTTTCTCAATACATCAGCAATGCTCCTCACTTTTTCGAGCTACCCTTTTTTCCCCTCCTTATTTTTCCCTGCACTATCCTCCCATTGTTGTCTTAATTACAGTCTATAGCGTCGGTCATTTCCCTATTATAACTGTGTTACTTAGGTGTTATGAAGTTAACACCATAATTTTACCTCTATGGAGAAATTATGAAACTACTTTGTTAGAATGTCATGCAAGTTTTATATAATTTTCTAAAGTAACTAAGGATTCATGATTGTGCATGTGTCTTTTATGTCATGATAGAGGTTATACGGAATTCTTGGTGGATTGAAATTATGCCTGAGGTGTCTGACGCTGTTTGTTGAGACACACGATCTGTCTTGGGAATTTCAACCACTTAACTCTTGATCCTTCCTGTAGTATGAACCCTTCCAGTGTGTCCAGCCACCTCCTCCTCTTTGTCTGTATAGCTTGTTTATTCTAATGTCTTTTACTAAACATTCCCTCACAAAAAACAGAGTGAGAAACATTTTGCAAATATTAGTCTTCACAAATTATGCAAAAATCTCTTATAATAAACCTCTTTACTACATCTGATATGGACTAGTGATCATTCCAGTGAAGAAGACTGACTTATAGCTCTTTACTTAAGAATGTATATAGACTGACTAGACCACTGTATAAATTATTACCAACAGATCAGCAAAAACAGCACTCCGTGCCCCTATCATGTTGATAGATGAATGGTGAGCTTTAAAGGTTATTAGAGTGTGTTTCATGAAGGGTTGGTCGCCCTGCGTGCAGGTGCGGTCAATGTGTACAAAGTGTATATTTTCCCAATGTCAGGTGTTGGGGTTGCAAAGTTTTTAATTTGTTTTATTGTGATGTTTTCTCCTCGATATTTATGACATGCTAATGATCCTTCCCATTATATCATATATTTTATGCTGAATATTTACATTTATAATGTGGAAAGTTTTATATGGCTGTTGAGATGCTTTAGCTTAATGACAACATTGCTTATCATTGGTGCATCATGTGCCGTGTAGGGCTTCAGGAAGAATAGGAACAAAGATTTTGACGCATGATGTTACCAGTGATTAAAAGAACTGTGTTACTTATATGAAAGATTGTAAATGTTTTTCACTGTGTTAGGCTAATAGTGAAAGATCTCATGTTTAAAAATTTGCCTTCATCTGTTCTGATTTATTTATATTTATATGTTGGTTCCCACATTTGATGTAGTTGTTGGTGCTGTGGCTGACATCATGGTCACCAAGTGAAACTGAGACTCACAATTTATTTGAAGTATTTGTAGATGTTAAAGTTAGTCACCTATTTCCAAGGAAGTCAAATGATGTCTCACAAATATAAGATATTAAAAAGTTGTGCACATTTAGGCACTTTTTGATGTTCTCTCTCTTCTTGCTTTCTTTAACACCTTTTATTTCTCATTTTGAATGTTAAATCCAGGTTGTTGATGATGAGGACTTTGACAGAGTGATCATTATTGTCAATGATGATGGAGAACAAGGTGTTGAGATCTTAATAGAATCTCCTCAATTTTTTGAGTTTGAAACAAATACAGCAGTAAAATCTTAATATGAATAATGGTGAGAATATAATGAGTCAACATATACAGTACATGTAAATAAGGTGTGTGTGTGTGTGTGTGTGTGAGGGAGTGTGTATAGATGCCTGGCAGAATGAAGTTTGCAGTGTCAGGCACCACAGATCAGCTTTAATCGCAATGTATTGAACTAGACGTGTAATACAACGATGTGAACACCAAAACCTCAGGTTGACATGTCAAGAGAGTTAATAAGTCATTTCAGGGTTTCAAAGAAAGCACAATAATGCTTTCAGAAGCTGCGTAAAGAAGACATTTCTACTGTGCCTACGAGCCTAAATATCAGTGTCATGCCAACAAACTTAAAATAAAAGATTTTAAGTTTTTTTGAGGAATACATTTATCCGAGGAATTATTGAAATTTTGTTTGTGTTAAGTTGGCCTGACATTTTTTGAAGGTCCTTACATGGTGGACTACAAGCGTCTTCTTTATAGACATTTAAAGTGTGTGTGTGTGAGTCAAAAAATTAGTGTCATGCCAACCTTGAACCCCTGATATAACTCCTTCAGGCCACATTCATGATGCAGTATATGTAAATTTGCATAACATTAGAGTATCATATAAAAGGCGACAGGGAAAAGATCTCTGGCAGGAACATTGTCATTTTCCTTGTATCAAACCCTGAATCATCAAATAGGCTGGACTCAAAACTTTCCATGTCTTTATTTTCTGCTAATTGGTGTAACAGAAATGACTTAACGGTATTTGTAATAAAGTTTTGAAGCATTGGATTTCAGTATTATCATTTATAAATAGTATTTATATCGGTAATGATGTAAATTCCTATACTGTTCATAACTGATTTTGAAAATGTATGTATGTATGTGATATAAAGATTAGCTTGTTCATTAATAATAAACTCTGTAAAGAATCTTCAAACATATATTGTGTTTTGATCTTGGTGACATGGTTTCCAAACACTTTGTCTTTATTTGTATAGGATTATTGTGATTTTCATTTTAATATCAAGATGAAAAGTGGTGTAGCACCTGAGTGGATATGGGTCGTTGTCTCCTATCTGAAGGGTCACTCACTTTAGGTACCCCTAGTCCACCCCCACCTGTGAATGGGTACCTAACTTTACAATTGGGGAAGTGAAGATGGTTGATTGCATTGTTAGCCTCCCTGTCTCCTTGGGTATTGAAGGCTGTATCCACAGTCCCTGTAATGGGTTATCAGGTTCATGGGATCCACGTTTACTTGCCTTGTGTGAGGTTCCTGTTGTTCATTGCCTGTGTAGTAAGGTTATCAATATTTTTGGAACAATTTGTAGATCTTTTAAATCTTTTTTCAACAGTTTAACAATTTTAAATAAATATTGTAATTTTGAAGGGTATTTTCAGTGCAGTACAATGTCAGAGCACCAGATTAATTATTGTTTTTGACTGATTTAACAGAAATTCTGGTACAGTATCACATAACCTCATAATAGTTGAACTGCTAGAGGGAGACACCTGTATGTAACTGAAAAATTTACCTTACTGGCAATCATCTGAGCTGCTTTACCACTGGCCACCATGTATTGTTTAAAGGTCTACAACAACGAGCTAATCAGCGACTTGCTTAGCTTTAACAAACATGTACAGTATGCTTATCTTTGTTCATCATTGCTGCCATCCTAACACTTGCCATTCATCCAGCATTGGCCACCATACCAATTGTTTACTCTAGCACTGTAAACAATAAAGCAGTTCATCTCTGGTAACACTGGATATGTGGAGTTAATAATGGTAACCCATCTGCCTTCCTATAGCCTGGACGCACAGTTATATGGTCGACCACAGCGTAACTATAACCTGTGAACATATATGTAATATCTCCTCCACTACAGTACTTCAGACAAGTATTATAGTTTAGTAATATATTTCCATTCAATACAAACATATTAGACACATACTGTAATTAACTATACCAATATCCCCTCCAGCACATTTCTATTAACCGTAAATCCTACTACTGTCTTGGAAATATTAACATACAATATATTTATTTAATACAAATCCACCAGAACAACTTGAAAGATATTTAATAAAGAATCTATATAATATTTAGTGATTTAGGTGTTTTCTGTCTTGAGTATGTATAAGCACAGCCTTACACAGGAACTTACTATAAGTCTCCCCCCTCATCTCACCTGTTATACCCATACTATTATTTTCTTAGACTATAATTACTATAAAACTATTAACCAGTAATATGTTCTGATGTACAGGTGTCTAGTAATTTGTTGTTCTGTTGAGTTATGTTTGTTTATTAATGTGCAATATTCGTGCAGATGTAAAATGCAGAAGATTAAATACTGAAAATCGAAGAGATTGAGTAGAAACAGTTAAGCCAAGGTTGGGGGGAGTACTCAATACATTTTATTTATGTATACAAGTGATACTATGAGTGCCAAGTACACAATATCATTCAGTGTCTCCGCCATAGTAGGATGACGCTGATCTTCACTATATTGTAATCTTGCTTGGAAATAAATACAGATATGTGAGTGAAGAAATGTATGGAGTCAATTTTTTTATTCTTTTGTATTTCTATGCCTTTTCCTACTTCATTACTGTACTGAGTTAACATGAGAGTTTGTATACCACCCCCTTTTTTTTTTTTTTGTTCATCACTCAAAGAAATCAATTTAATCCCACACTTGGTAACTACAGGGTGTATCATATGTAATGTTGGGTGGCTTAAATTATCTGTAGACTAAAGTAGAAATATATCTCGACACTACAGCTACTGTACTTGTCTTTGGGAGCATGAATCTTTAATTATTAGGATGAAATATGTTTACCTATGAAGGGAATTTCAGATGTTTTGGTAACAAATTATGCTTGAAAGAAAGAAAAAAACGAAACTAGAATAATTACTAAAAACACATTAAGGAAAACCACTAAAGAATGGATGTGAGGCAGTGACGAAGGTGATACAATGGTAAATTTATACATATTTCCCAAGTATGACGTAAAAGAGGTCACATTATGGGCAAAAATATAATTACAGTATAATGAGGTCCTCCCCGACTTACGATCTACTCGACTTACGACCACTTGCACTTACGACCTGCCTCAATCGCACCCAAATTTAGTGAAATTACGTATTTTCGAGTCCCAACGTCAGTACACAGACAAAATTTTGGTTTCAATTCACTTTAAAATGGCTGGCAAGCTTAAAAGTGAGAGTTTTGTGGTGCTGAGAAGAAAGAGAGACCCATTTTAGATTTTCTATGTATTATTCAAGCATTTTCGACTTAGGACCATTTAAACTTACGACCTGGAATTGGGTCCCTAACCCCGTCGTAAGTCGGGGAGGAGCTGTACTTGTTGAAATGGTTGGGAGTTATAGCCGTTACTGTGAGTATGTACTGTATTGTACTTTTATTTATTACTTTTAGTAGATTATGACTTAATTACACAGCCAGGTATTAGCGGTGAAGACTGTGCGATTGATAGGGACGTCTGCCAGCTGTTCAGTCATACATAGATTATAGTGTACTGTACTGTATAGTGTAATTAGAAATACAAATAAGAAGACAGGTCGAAAATTGCAAACATTCTCAACAAATGCTAATATTGGTCACAGGTAAGAAGAATTATTCAATAGATAATAAAATAAATCTTAAATGCTTCTTTCCCATTCTATAGGTATATATTTCTGAAACATTTAAATATAGTGTTCCCATCCTAAAGTATTTCAGTCTGACCAAAAATTAGATACAAGATGTCTTTAACAAATCACTGACTCGTACAGTTACCCTCTTCCTTTACCCATCTCCCAGGTAATCTTGAGCTACACCTGCTAAGAAGTCATGTCAGGGGTTCAATGTAGGCTTGATACTGTTGTCATAACTGTGTGGGGGTGGGGAGGGTGGGTTTTGTGTGTGTGTGTGTGTGTGTGTGTGTATATATATTATTGTGTCAATGGTCCTGAAAAGGAGTAATACCAATCCTGAATCACTGAACTTAAATATATTCAAGAAGTCTGATGGATTAGGAAAGTTATGTAATCCCCCATGTTAAAACCCATTAGCGGATCCTTCCCATTACTTTAGCGAGTCATTATTTGTCTCTGAGTTGGTGGGTCTCTCTGCTTCATATGCTGGAAAGCCACAAATCTCCTCCTGTTGCTGTAGCTGTCACAATTAAATTAATGTGAGGAAGAAAACAGTTTTTAAGTATCAGAAATTGTTATTCCATAAGTCTTAAGCTGTTCTATATACAGTGGGATAATCTCTCTCCTACCAGAGTTGAGTGCAGGCATTGGATAGTTCAGTGGTGTAGTGTTGGTGTAGGGACACTCGGAACACACAACACTTACCAGGTTACTCTCAATTTTTTAGCTTACATTAACAAGTCCGTTTAACCTTAGCCTCTGGTGGATGTGATGGTATGTGTTATGATTAGACAGTGCAGTACAGGCATTTGATATCGTAAAAAGTACAGCATGAAAGTTTATCTGGTCTCGTGTAAAGATTAGGCATCCTAGCTTATTGCCCTTGATGAATAAACACCCTTATGCTTACCTAACCTAACACTTAAAGGTAGCATTAGTGGGTTCAATTATCAGGTGAAATAAGCTGGGGTGCCTAATCTTCATGTGATTCGGAGATCCTACAGTACATACTTTATTATTCCACCTTTGTCTAGTGGAAATTTACGTGATAATGAATAAATATTTATAATACAATAAGAACTGTTATATATAAACTATAGTATACTGTATTTATGATCAATTCTAGTCAACACATTTAAGTTTATATCAAAGTACAGTGCATAACACCTATAATACTATATCCCCTACAGGGTAACAATGGAGGTGTACTTCTAACCATTACACGCATACTGAACAATGATATTTATTTTTTATCTTATTTTTTATATAAATCTTTCAGTCTCATACATATTAATATCTATTTAAATATGTTGTGTGTTTTGCATCTGTATATGACATGTAAATATTTAACTGGTTGTGAAGTGAAACTAAAAAAGGTGCAACACATTTTCCGACTATATTGCAATTATACTTTGTAAGACATATTAACTTGATCTAAAGGTACTTACTGCAACATGCTTGACATTACTGTTCCATATAATATTGTACTGCAGTATATGTGTATATCCTCACCTCTATTCATAATTTGTTTTATGTGAAATGATATAACTTATTTATATTGTATAATGAATAGAGATATAAGCTACTATATAATGAAAAAGAAATGTAATTGATCTCATTATGAACATCGGTATATTATTTATCGTATAATGAATAAGGGTGTACAATTTTATGACTTATAATGAGTAATGGTGCATCTATCATATTCCCAATCGTTTTCATCATAATTTAATTTCCTGTGCAATAGTTGAAGTTGTACATTGTGTATTCGAGATCAGATCAAATTTACAGGTGGTGTTAGAGTTTATCAAGGTACTGTATAAGGGAACGAGGGAAGGGGGGGTGCCATGACTCGGCCACATGACCAGTGAACAGTCATGCTCCGGGTGAATAGGTCGATATAACATGTATTCATTAGTAACAACTTGGGAAGGATAAATTGGTAAAAAATAGATAAAATTGGTGAACTTAAAATGATGAAATTGGTGAACTACTTATGAAGATTAAATTGGTAAAAATTACTAAATTGGTTTTAACAGCTACTGTATGGGTGAACATTATAAAACAACTTTTAGTGAACAACATAAAGTGAAATAGGTGAGCAACACAGAAATGGATGAACAACCGAAAGTGTGGTAGTTTGAAGGCCACCAACAACTCAGAGAAACCACCCAATCATACTTTCATACACTGTATTATAGCTGTTAACGTAGCCAAGTGTGTTGGACGTGGGAGACTTGTTCCGCTGTGTAGGTGTTCACGTGAGATTTGGGTGTCACAAAATATAGTTAAAAGTAGGATTTTTCAGTGATGTTAGAAGACCTTGGTAACTGTGTATTTTTACCCATAGATGTGTAAGATTTTCAGTAGATTTTTCATACAAGTTTATATCAGTTTATCATATACATAGTGCAGGTATATACAGTAAGTTGAATCAATCAATAATGGCCCAAGAAAGTTGTTAAAAGACTATTACTTGTAATACTACTGTACAACTATAATGAAGTGTTTTATAATTTATGTCATGGTCTTTTATGATGTTTATTAAAACATTTTGTTTAGCACAATATATTAATCTTAAAATTTGATGCGTCATTTAATTTTTTATGAATGGGAACATTGTAATTGAATTTACTATTTTCTTTTTTTACGTATTTTAAAGAATCAGATTTGTGCCAAAACGTTATATTTTAGTGGAATGATTAAAAAAAGGTATTTAAATAGATATGAAGCAACATAGCACAGAAAAAAATACAGTACTGTATTTTAATATACAATAACACGATATAGAAGTACAACATTGTCACTACAGTATTTTGATAACTGCGTGAGGTAAAAAAAAAATGAAACAATCAAATGAGTGATACACATCCGCCTATTAAGATGGTGAAGAGGCAGTAGTGTGTCACTAATTGTAAGGCTCCCTCCCAGCTGGCGTGATCCTGGACCGTGTCTTTATTGACAACCATCAGCTGTTCTCCAGAGGTCTACACGGCTGTGGACAGTCGGCCAACACTTGCCTCCCAGTCTACCAAAACTGTCATTGAAAGACCAGTGACATTTACTCACAAGCGCGGATGTGTTGGTTGTTGCCTTGTAATACGTCTGACTCCCCTGTTAATGTTCTACTGTACTTAGAACAGTGTAAGAAAATCCCAGTGTAAAAGACCCAGAGAAGTGAGAATATAATTTTATATCATGTGTTACCTGGAAGGGAAGATGTGTGACGACATTGCCAGGAATCTCTCTTCCCCTGGTTCTCGTAAATGCTACATCATAAAACCTCTAAACTGATGTAATTATCATCCACCATGGCAATATTAGCTTGATTTTATGTTTTCGTATTACACCATGGGATTTATATCGCCTTTATTGACATTTGGTTGAATTATATGGTGTGTTAGCTTACTTACAGTGCTACAAAATATATCCAAATACAGTACTGTACTCTGACATGTAAAGTTCAAAACTAGTAAAAATTGACAAAGGTTAAGTCGAGTTAAATTCTCGCAAAACTGAAAAAAAAGACCCATTTAATGTATTTGTGTCAATATTGTACATGATTCACACGCACACACTCCCACGAACACCGACACACACACACACACACAATAAAAAAAAGTATATACAAAAAATATATGCAAACAACCACATATGTACACAAATTATGCAATTTCATTTTCATTGTGTCTGTTTTTACAAATTGCATTGTTAAGACTAAGGCACCAGTGTGTAAATAAGAGATATTCAAATGTGCTTCGTGTTCTTTACCCCTGTGTTGTGCTGCCTGACACGTGATATCTGTTGATGGATTATTTCAGGAGTTCAAAGTAATCATGACTCTGGAACCCGTTGTGAGTCGTTTGACCTGTGCCCGGGTGGGCTAATAACCGTAAAAACAAACAAACATTGTAGATACGTCTATCACGTGTCCTTGAACCTCGAAATCAATGTCATGACAACTAACATGTACTAACATTCACGTGATATATATATATATATATATATATATATATATATATATATATATATATATATATATATATATATATATATATATATATATATATATATATATAGTGTGTTTTTTTTTATCACCTGAATATATTGTTCATACTTAAATTTTGAGGTTTAAAGTTGATATAGTATTACCTACTGTATTACAGTAGTACCAACTTTGAACTCTTAATATGACCCTTAAGTACTAGTAAAAATAATAATCAACCCCAAATTAATGATGAGTGACTGTTGAGTATGATGGGACGTATTTATGTACTGTGCAGTACATAACGGCGGTCTCAAAAGTCACAAAACAGTTGAAGGAGTCAGTGAGTGACGACGCTACAGTACTCTCAATATTCAGTATACTGTATCGAGTTTCAAAGTTGTCTTAAGCTCCATTTTTTATTAAGTAATTTGTTTATCAATAAAGATAGCTAGTCAATGGTAGAGTCTTTAATTCTCCCAGTAAAAATGATAGTAATGTAATAAAAAGGGGAAAAACTAGTTACTACGCCAATAGCCCCATGGGTACCGGACACACTCACAGGACCGCTTCCCACACCTATCAACCAACTATAACACTGACTCATGACTTCCTCTGAATATGAAGTTCGTCTGAATTCTTATCCACTTAAAAGACCATGGAAAAATCTTAATTAGCATGATAAAATCTCAGTAAATTATAACATTTCTGGTAACTACAGTATGTTCCCAAGACCGAGTTCTCAAGCACTGGAGGTGAAGGTGATTGTCATAGTCATTAGTGCTAAAGTGAGTAATTGGATCATGAGTGTATAGCCTGAAATGACATCACCCTAACTCTCTGGGAACCCTTCTCAGAGAGTTAGGGTGACCTTGATATTTACGAGGATAGAACTAAGTTTTATTTAATCCACTTAAACCTATCTAATCTTAACCGAAATTAAGCTCTCCTATCTTACCCTAACCATATTTACCTACCTTCCAAACATCTCTCCTAGCTTAACTAACCTAATACATGGGTTCAGATCATCTAAGGTTCGTATGTTAAATATTCCTCGTTAGTAGAGATGTATAATAAACCTAACCCAACCTAATTACGTAAAGCTAATCTAATCTAACCCAACCTTTCCCGCCTAAACCCAATCTAACGACACCTAACCAAATCAAGTATAACCTAAAATAATCCAATCTAATCAAACTCATTCTACCCTAACGTTGCTTAACAATCCACATACTAGGCATAGTTCCCATATGATCTACCTGACTTAAAGCTTACATGACAAAAAATATGTTCAATGATTATGGTAATAACATCTCTGGCGACGGTCATAAATACTAGCCGAATTACAGAGACTACCGTAACAAGATACATTTGCTTAGTACTTTGATATGGTAAAAATGTATAAATATCCTCTATTTTGAGATGAGAATTATTATTATTATTATTATTTTTAACTGAAGAGGTTTTTATGTGTGGTGATGGTTTCGGAGGGAGAGGAAGAACTACGTGATTTTCCCATGATTGGTAATTCTGTGGTTAATTAGGATAGGTTAGTTTACTTTAGGTTAATTAGGGGAGGAATTAGGATAGGTTAGGTTACTTGAGGTTAATTAGGGTAGGTTAGGGGAGGAATTAGGATAGGTTAGGTTACTTGAGGTTAATTAGGGTAGGTTAGGGGAGGAATTAGGATAGGTTAGTTTACTTTAGGTTAATTAGGGTAGGTTAGGAGGTTAGGGAGGAATTAGGATAGGTTAGGTTACTTGAGGTTAATTAGGGTAGGTTAGGGGAGGAATTAGGATAGGTTAGGTTACTTGAGGTTAATTAGGGTAGGTTAGGGGAGGAATTAGGATAGGTTAGTTTACTTTAGGTTAATTAGGGTAGGTTAGGTTAGGGGAGTTCATGGAATCTGAACCGTTGAAATAGAACCGTAACAGGAGACGGTAAAATCGACGGCTTTGTCCTGGGTATCCAAAGACTGGGTTCTACGCTATCATTATTTCCTTGTGTTTTCATGAAAATTCCTAGATTAATAATTATCCAGATAATCTTGAAGCCAGCGTTTTATAGCAGATATATTGAGGGAGCAAGACTTTTTTCCGATGGGGTGACAGTAAACGTAAGATTAATCCAGCTGGACAACAAAGACATATCGTATTTGCGAGTGTAGAACAAAACCCCCCCTAGGATAAAAACCCCCTTGGACAAACCTAACCTAACCTAACCCAAGGGTGTTTTGTCCGAACCCTCGTATTTGCTATGTCCATTTCTAGCTGCAGAAGAGACTAGGCTTCTCATTACAGTTAGTTGGTAGTGTGACAGTCGTTGGAATAGTTCTCTCAAGTACAGTACTTCACATGTTCCTCCCAGGTGTTGGAACGTAGCAGGTATGTTTTTCATGCCAAACGTCACACGATATTACTATTATACAGAGGTTTTTAATCTGTTTCAACTTGTATATTTCTTTCGTATTACTGAATTTCTATCGATAAACAAATGGATAAAAAAGGTTGAGATCTTTCACTCCAAAATATAGATTAATGTTACTCTCGTTCAAGGTTTGTGGTATATTGATGACCCCATACGACTGTCTCCACAAGCATCAAGTTCATTTCCAGTATTCAGAGACACAAGGCAATCAGGTCTGGTTATATGTGAACACTCCAGGTGTACTCTTACTCGGCCAAGATCAGTGGAAAGTATACCTTGAATATGTCAAACTGTGACCAGAAGCTTATGACAACAGCAACAACAATAATAATGATGATAATAATAATAATGTTAATGATAATGATAATAATGTTAATATTAATAATAATGATAAAAAAAAAAATAATAATAATGATAATAATAATAATAAATACTATATTATTATTATTATTATTATTATTTAGTAAATCGTAATTCAGGACTACACTTGGTTTGATATACCTGCATATAGACTATGCAAGTATACAGTTCAGTATGTGTAAAGACAATGCCTTAGGTATACACACTGTATACCATAGATTGTGATACAACAAACATTGATAGGAGTCCTCAACACATGATGGCGGGAGCTTGTCGGCTATCCGTGGTCATATTGCCTTATTGTTTGTTTAATAGTGCTGTATACCTTCACTGTCTGAGTACATTGGAAACTATACCTCCACGGTCTATGGTATACACTGTACACCATACACCAATGTCTCTATTATACTCGTAGCCTACACAACCACGAATCATGGACCCGTTCACCCTAGCATGGAAGTTCGAGATTATTAAAAATATAATGTTCTGGGCAATACGAGTGTGTTTAGTCCCCTGAGACAGTAATATCATCTTGTACCATAATGTTGTATATATCCTGGTTCCATCCTCTCGTGCCCACAACCTTGTACCACACCTCCGCCTCCCAGATAGACCGACTCACCTTGGCGGAGACTTGAACAGCAAGTAGTGATCCTCTCTAAACAATAACCGTTATCAGATATCATCATTTTTAGCCCTTTAATAAATCTGTTATCCTCCCGTCGTTTATTTTGTGAATTAAAAAGCTCAATGTCAAGGATTAACAAAAGGCTAACATATTTGGCAAAAATATTTTAGACCGAGAGAGTGAGTGAAAGTGGAAACGCTACCCAGAGTTCACGAACATTCCGGCTAACTGTTCCAGGAACCCTCAACAGCAATTCGACGATCACTGTAGTTTTCTAGCATCCAGAGTTGTTTACGGAGAAGTCTAATTATCATGACATAACGGTAGTTGATGAGAAATACGTGACGTATGTGTATATGTGTGTGTGTCTGTCTGTCAGGTGCACGAAGAAGGAGGAGCTACAGGGAGGTACATGATGACGTATTTGTGACGTCATAGAGAGGTGGGCAAGGCAGGAGGAGGAGGAGGGGTTGTTTAGTGTTGAACCAGTCAGTCTGGTGTTGAGTGTGCTAGAGAGAGGAGCGACAGTTCTACTTGTGTCCCGTTACCTACCACCTGTTATAATCTGCGCTATTTTCACCGTCATCAAGAGGAGTGAAGTGGTGGAGAGTGGTTTACCAGGTAAGTGTGAGTGGTGATGAGGAGTGACGGGGTGTGTGAGGAGGGGGCCACCACCTCCTCGTCTTCCCCCCCACACACACCAACTTAACTTTCTTCATACACTTGTGCTGGTGACGCTTCCATCCCTCACCATCGCTGATAGTGACGCTCCTGGTGATAGTGCGGCGGTGAGGAGGTTATGATGTCTTGGTGATATTGCAGCCATGTTGGTGGTGATGCTTATATTATATTTTGACGATGATAGTGATGAATTGGGTGGTGAATAATGATGGCATTTCCTCGACCGTGGTAATGACAGTGAAAACAGCAATGACACACACACACGTGATGATAGTGACATATGATGGTGACTCACTGGTGTTGACGCGTGATAGTGACTCCATAAATGGTGGAATATAGTGAGGGTGATAGTGAAAATATGGAGGGAGGTTTAATGGTTCAAGCTGAAGGCATGAACGTAATGGGTGTGGTTATGGTGGGTGGATATGGGTGTAATGGGTAAGAGTGGGTGGTTATGGTGGGTGGATATGGGTGTAATGGGTAAGAGTGGGTGGATATGGTGGGTGGATATCGGTGTAATGGGTAAGAGTGGGTGGTTATGATGGGTGACTAGGGTGGGCTGGTGTAGGCGTAATGGGTGGTTGTGGGCTTGGGAGTGTGTGTGGGACTGGGTGAGTGGGTGTGGGCGTGCGTGGGTGGTCGAGCAGGTGAGGATATAATGGGCGGCCATGTACAGGGAGGGGATACCAGGCAGTGAGTGACCTCGCCTACGCCCACGGTGAGGATCATGGGCGGCCCACGCGACGCCCACAGCTCGCACACGTTCTTCCTGGTGCGTATGTGTACAGCGTGTGTGTGTGTTGACTTAATGTACGTGCACTGTGTGTTTATGTATGTAAATATGTATGGTAATGTTTGCAAATGAATAAAGTATTTTCTTGATGCTAGCTGACCTATAAATTAAATCAGAACACACACACACACACACACACACACACACACACACGTCAAGTTGTTGCTTCACTGAGCCCCCGTGACCACACACCTGCTCATCTCTCAGCTGCTCATTCTGTACACAACAAAATAATTATTATAAATGCTGGCTTCTCTTTGGTTAGAAATAAAGAAATGAATTTTTAATTGTCTGATTATATTCTTTGTATTTACTTTTAAAGATGAATGATATAGATATAATATATACAGTATGTAAGACTAAATTATTCATTGAAGGTATAAACGTTTTGTAAAATTAGACATATAGATCGGTTAAAATATTGAACGAAATGATTTACGTTCGTATTTTTTATTATCTTAATCAGCATGTCGTTTCGGTATCCGGATTACGTGGTCGGGTTTCCCTACTCGTGTTACTTTCGTGTAAATTATATGAATTAAGTTATCTCAGTGTAAAGTATCTACCACCATATGATTATTTTACAGCATTTAAGTTAGATAAAAATGTTTTATACTGTGTTTTAAAATTCATAGAAACGTCGAGATATTTAACCAGCAAGTTAGTCAATTCACATTTTTTTTAACGGAAGCACCTTTAAGTTATCTATTCCGAGGTATGTAAGTTTATTCTTCTTCAAATAGAAAGCGAATTTATTTAGTTATTTTAATCCAAACTGTTCACTTAGTGCACATTACCAATACAAGTTGATAACACACTGGAAAAGGAACCGCGTAGAACAAATTGATTGAATTGTGGTTCCAAATAGATAAATAAGTATAAAGAAGGAAAACTGATATGTGGGTTTAGCGGTCGTGTTTGAGATACTATTCCAACACAGGCAGTCTGGCTAAGGTCACACCAGAAGGTCAGTAAGGCGTTGCTAGGAGATCACTCATAACAGGTTTGATAAACTATATCCACTAATTTGACTGATAGGATTTTAGACCGGCTTCAGCACACTAGCAAACCTACGGACTTTTGGTGTTTAGTTAGAGATTGCTATGACTACCACCAATTTAGGTAATAATATATAAAATGTCTGTATAATTATTTCAGCCTAATACAAAGTCCAAGTGTACAGTGAATCATATTTGCGTTAATATGGAAAAAAAAAAAACTTAACGAAGCGGTTGAAAATAAGTACACGAAAAAGCAGTTTAATTATACTACATTTATTTCGTGAATATACAAGACGTGTTTAGAATGACACATGTGCCCGAAGGTTAGCAAAGGAAATGCCAAGTCACCCAGGGGCAGATGGAAGGTTTCTAAAGGTACGGGTGAGTTTGTGTGCGTTGTATAACCATAGGGAAAACTGTAGTCCCAGACCCAACATTGTACATGTCAGGATTTCGTGCGATAAATATTCCTCGTAGCTGAAGATCTACGAATATACTTATTTGTTTGACTTACACTAAAAAAATACATGGTGAGTAAAGCGTGCCAAGACTTTTGCCTTGATTAAATACGTTGTTAGGTGTATTTTTACATTGTCACTATCCATACTTGCCAGTAACGTGACATGAAACTAAACTTGGCGCTCAGTATGTCTTGTAATCCTCTTTAATACTTATGTAATCATCTCGAAATAAAAGTTCTATGACAAATTGTAGAGAGGAATAGTTCCCTCTTCAAATGACACACAAATTACCAGCTTTTTATAATGGTTTTGAAATCGGTAATGAGGGAAATTTGAGTGAGGGTGCAGCCTCGCCCACACGCTCTGTTAGCCCGACTGACTCCCGTATCCAGGAAGTTTGATGCTATGAATTTTCGTGGTAATTGAAGGTATAAGCATGAACCTAACCAATTGACGTAAGATAAACATAAAATTATAAAAAAACATCGAATTATACACAGATTGCATTGAGCAGATACGTTTACTTAATTCCAGGTAGGTATAAAATCTTTGCCCCGCACTGATCTCAAGTGAAAGTGCGGTACAGTATATATCGGGTTTTTTTTATAGTTAGGTTGCTTCTGAGTATAATTTTCACGTTATTTGTGTTCTCAACCAAGTAGATAGATATTTGTCTTCACTTACCCAGAATATTCATCATACGATCTTTAGAGATTCAGGGTCTAATCTGGCCGTGATGACCAAAAGTAATGAAAAACTGATGTCGAATCGTGTCTCCAGGGTATGGTATTGTACACGGTAGATTGATTTGTAGAAAATAGTTAATGTCTCTGACTAATATACAGTACATTTCTTTTTTACTTTCAATCTACGTTCCTCCAAAGTTATTAAACTATTTTAAAGTAACAAATTTAGTAAATACATTTTGTAAAGTTGTAAATTGAATCTTTCATGCCGGAATCACTGATCTTCTGGAGGTACACGGGTCGAGAAAAAAAATATTGAAGTTAAATGAAAGATTGAATCATCATTTACACCTCTTTCTACATGGTGTTCTCAGGATGGTGATAATAATTATAATACCGGTAATAGAAATGTCGGTAATTATATTGGTATTAATAATAACTATGATAATATAAATACTAACAACGGTAGTATTAATAGTAATGATAATTTTAAATAATAAGTTTATTTACTATTACACTTATGAAAACAATTTGTCATTTAGCAACACTTATCACGAAAATATTTCTACATAGCTATTGTTTGTATAAGAAAGTACAATACGTAGAAAACATTTCAGTTTTCCTCAACACAAGCCGTCGACAAAAGTACAGGAAACGAAATTAGTTTCTTTGTCCTCACCGTTTACATCAAATTGTTTCATCCTTGTCCGCAAGACTGGGTAATGTACATACTGCACAGTTGAGTACGAAATTCCCTTGATATATTTAACAGTATTTAGTACCTACATCTATAATCCATATTTAGATACCAGGCAAGTGTCAAGGGAAGTCTGGCCGCAGCTGCCGTATAGCGTATGTATGAATATTACCAAACTTTAACTAACACCAGGAGTAGCAAGATTCTTAAGCAATCGCAGCTCGCACATGGTCACTGCCAGCGACCGTTGACGCATGCACGGTCATGGTGACGTGTGTCGTAGCTCGCAGCGTTTCAGTACGTGACGCGCGTATCCGTCACACTAAGCTGACGCCATATACAACACGTTCTTGTACCATGGTTAATATACTGATGAAGGGGCCATAAATCTAGCCGCAGCGATGATTTCCGTTACTTTGTCTCCAGCTTTCACCGGTGTAGAGGATATCCGCCTAGCCACTTGTTGAACACCATCTCGGACGGCACCTGTCGAGTCGAATAAAAGTCTTACGGTAAATCTTCTCGTCGATGAAATTTATCTTAAGCCAGTGGTCAAATTTGGAACCTTTAAATGCACGTACTGTAGGCTCTAGGTATCAGGAATATGACGTTTGTTTTGGATGTTTGTAGCCTTTCTTTTTGCTATATCCACGTTCTATCTCTCCTCCACCATACCACTTACTCCACTCCACCACCTCCACACTTCCCTCTCGCTACCTGCCAAGTCAACGTCCTCACTCCGGCTGGACATGTCTACCGATTTTCCCACGGTCGAGAATATTTTCCCACGCTTCCCCCCACTATATTCTTCCTCGCACATACACTACCCACACGTCTTTTGTTATTATATAGTGTTAGACTGTGGTGTTGTGGTGTAACTTACGGTGTTTTATTGCAAGTTGTAGTGTAGTTGACGTTCTGGTGTTGTGGTACTGCTAGGTGAATGTGGTGGTGGTGGTGTAGTGCAAGTTGTATTGTTGTTTATGTTGTGGTGGAACTTGTGGTATTGTGCAACGGATCGTAGAGTTGTTAAGTATAGTGTGGTGTTGTGTAATGTGTGATGCTGAAGTGTTTATAATGTAAGAAAAGTGTTAGTGTTGTGATATTAATTCCACTTTTGTTAGTTATGGTGTTGTAGTAATGGTGTTGTGATCTAAGGTGTGTTGGTTATGGTGCTGTGTTATGGTGAGTATTACGGCATAGATTATAGTGTTAAATAAGGTGATATTTTGGTGTAATTTATGATGCTGTGTTGTATACAGTGAGGTGTTGTGGTGTAACTTTTATTATGGTGATTCAGAT